AAGGAGAGAATCTAGTGAAAGCGAGACGACTCGCCTATAAATTATGGACCTTGCGCGAGGAGGGCTTATACGGAAAAAGGATATGGAGAAATCTGCTTACTCTAGCAGAACTTCTCATGCCTTGCTCTTTTAGTTCTAAAAACTACTTGAACGGGTTTTGACACTGTTTATCCCAGTTTTCAACAGAAAAGTCAAATTTCATTTGTCTAAAAACAAGTGCAATGCCTAAAAGCTGCCTGCTACTAACGACTAACGAACGTCCCCCAAACGCTGCGAGTAGGATGTGCATTATTGACTTAGGCACTCGTGCTAGCCTTTAGCTTAGCCGACGCTGAGATAGCTTGCCTCTTTCCGTATACCGCATTTTTGCAAATGCACAGTCTTTCAGCGCGCAGGTTGAGTATCTCTGACATTGCTTCAAACTCAGCTGTCTTGCGTTCAACCTCTCGAAAAAGAAAAGAGCAACTCTCTGCCCAGCATTACACTTTTTTGTCTCGAACTACTCTGACCATGGACTGTGAAATGAGTTTTTTGGATTGAGCATGGTAACGCTGCCTGCGTTCCATGTTCGACCCAATTTTTTCATTTCGGCGGTGGACCTCAAAATGATGTTCAGGCTGGAAGACATTTTTTATTATCCTGCCACGATCATAATTTCTCTGATACGTGATTTCCCATCATGAAGACCAACATTAAACAAAAAAGGAAAAGCGCCGGTGTTTTGAAGAGTCTTAGTTAATGTTTGAAAATGATTTTTTTCACGCAGATAACAGAATTCGCTTATGAGCTTCTATTACAATGGTCATACTTGTGTGAGCTGAAGCTAGGTCTGATCAAATCAAGCAAAAACGTTCCAGAGAGTCTACTATAAGAAAACTAATATAAAGGAGGAATTCTGTCGTCAATGAGAAAAGTGAAGACTCAAAATAGTCTCATTTGTTAATCTCTTCCTGGTTTGCTTACAACAATCTTCCTTCGACCTTGCCTAGCCTTGAAAAATGCAGATTCATCAAAAAGAAAGGCAGTACGCCTGACCCGTGGTAGGCACAGAGTAAAAAAATAGCATCGGGGAGGAAGTCTACCTAAGATGCTCTCGTTTGCAAAGAAGTTATTTGAATTTTCAGCTACCTCTCCCACTACTGTTTACAGCAAGCCTTCATATTCTTTTTTTGCTCATCCATGGTTTTTATTTTGATCACTGCCATTGATACTATCCTTTGACTGAAAAATATCTAAATAAACATTTTGAAGCATCTTGTCCACTTCTTATGGAAAGGTGGTACACAATTACGATACAAAAACTCCACGTAATTTAGAGCCCAAGTAGATGTCGCCCCAATGACGACAGAAAATCGCGCCACTCAACATTCACGCCATTGTTAGCACCAATTACTGGGTACGTGATTGCGGCCACGCTCACCTATCGAACCTGAACACGCCGTTATGTGTGCTTAGCTCATTTGATCTAAAACTTGGCGCGAATTGGTCATTAAATGCCATTTGATGATAAGATTCCGGGAGTTCTTCATATTCCAAAAATTTATTTGCTGCTGCCGGGAACTCATTCCATGAACTTCGAATTACGAACTGGGAGAATGTGGAGGATACTTGGAAGCATAAATTGACTGCATGTGTTTAATTAGTACGATATAAGATTTGCTCTGTCTTAATCTTCCCGATGGAACGTATTTAATACTTAAAACTATCAAATGCTTTTGTTATCTGTCTGCAGTGATCAGACCGTCAATGATGTTTTGGACCTGCCAAATATATTTCGCTTTCGTTTGTTATCGCTTACGAACTCTACCTTACAAACAATGTTTCTAGCTTATTTAGGCAGAAGCACCGCGCACTTCGCAATAGAGGCTTCAGTTATGGCATGGCGCTTTCAAGCCTCAAAATTCAAAAATACCACACCACACATTCCCAAAAGAGAGGTTAGTCCTTCAAGTTAATTTTACTTCCATTGTTGGTTCTCTCATCACATATCGATTGATGAATGTTTGAGATATTCTTTTAATTAACTCTTATATCAAATCTCGTTGAGAACTGGTGTTTTTATTAGTTTACATACTCAGTCACTAAGAGCAAATGTCTTCAATGACTGGTATAACGTCTCATCAATGCTTTCTTTTGATGTCAAAATTATCCTTTCGGATCCTCGTCTGTTTCTATCGAAAACTTACCATTTTAGCAGTTTTTATCACTATGACAACGAAAACTACTGAATTAAGGGCAGAAAACCATACAATTTTGGCGTCGTGGAATCACTTAGGTAATTATTTTGGACGCGAACTTATGTGCTTGAAAATGTAACAAAAGTAGCAATGAATGCTGTGTATTAATGGTAGCGTCTAACATTTCTATGCAAATCTCACTATGTCGAGGCTAAACTTTTCTAAAGCATTGCGACCTGGCTCTTCCATGGTTGATCATTTATAGGAAACTATCTTTGACGTTCCTGTTGGCAATCTTTCATGTACAAATAATGGAATTCAAGCTAGCGCGAGTTACTTAGCATTTCTTGTGGAGGGTGAAGGTTTGTTTCAACAAAGTATCTCGCTTTATTACCAGTATGCAATCTTCTTTAGTATTTTATGCTTCCCTAAAAAAATCTTGAAGACTCGTCGGTTTTCTCGCTCCTACTCTTTTGTCTTCTTTTTAGGTGGTAAGCTTGGGCTTTTACCAATAGGAGCAAAAGGAAGACGGACTCGAAAAGACATGTCCATAGCTTGTGCTCATGGGGGTTTGTTTTCGATGTGTTTCGCAATGTATTGCCTTCAATTTTTATTCAATTTTTTTAGAACAGGTAGATGACTTTTGCTTTATGACCTTCAATGATGATCTCTTGTTAACCTGTAGCCGAGATGATAATGTAAGTACTCTTTTAATTTGCCTTCTGCTGGTTTGATCTTTTAAACAATGGAAATTTGTTTGTTTCTGAATTCATTTTTCTTTTGTGACTCCAGGTCAAAGTTTGGCGTTTATTGGGTGAGGAAGCGTCACCGATCTGTGAATGCGAATTGAGCGTTGGGCAAGGGCATGTACTTTTG